TTTTTTTTTTTTATGTTTTTCTTTTGGGGGGGGTGGGGTGCGGGGAGGATCGGAACCTAATACTCATCTACGATTTTGTCTTTCTGTATTTGTTTCTCTCATTTCCTATGTTTCACAAAACTACTTTATGCTGAATAAATCTGAGTGAACTATTTCGTTGTTGCGGATAGATGAGTTTCATGATCAGATGAATACGGTTTTTCCAAATTGCTGGGGAGTATTAACGTTCAAGACAGAAAGTGAATTTACAGGTTTATCTTAGCAAGAACAGATTGATTTCAGATATCAATACAAAATTAAATTTTACTTGGATAAAAAAGATTTAGTTCAATCAGTTTCATGGGTCCTCAATTGCCTACTCCCTGCACCACCCCTATGGAAGAACCCCAATATACATCGATAGAGTCTGTTTAATTTTTTGTTATTGAAAACCGAGGGGCGATTGCATGAACGAGGAGATCATTCAGTTCATTTAGAAGGTGAAGTCATGCAAACATTCCTGAGATGGAAGTGCCTGGCAAATTTAGATGGAAAGCCGTTATGTATGGGAGCAGAGAAAGAGAGAGGAACTATAACAATGATCTCAATTATGGTAGTGATGATATTCCTACACCAACAACAATAAAAATCTGCTATTCTACAACATGCTACAAAAACAGAGACATCTCAGGAGCTGGAATGAAGTAGAGAATGCCTTCTCCAAACAGCTCAAACAATGATACCAATGTACGTCCAGAATTCAAGTCATCCTTCCAAATTTGATCAAGTATGGCTGACTTCTTCAAGACTTTACTATCTTTTCCAACTCTATTGCCTGATCTTTCATCATTAGGCATCTTTTCAGAAGTCGATGGCTGGTCCACATCAAGGTCACCTGATGGATGTGGAGCAGCTGTTTCCCCTTGCACGGAAGTTGGTGAGGATTTGGCTGAAGCCATGCCAATTGGGCCATCTGTTGCTATTTTCTTCAAGGCTGGTTCATGTTCCAAGGGCTCCATGCTTGCTTTTCGTTTATCTTAAACATTTTATAGAAAGCAAGAATGAAATTAGAATGTCACCTCAAGAAATACGATAAACACCGGATATCAAGCATTCCTAATTTTTGTGCTTAAAAGCGTTCGTTCAGGATTTTGAATGCAACAGAGACAAAAACAAAGCATGGGATCTAGCCATCTTGTGGAATCAGCACTTCCTAGTTGAATAACTTATCAATGACATCAATCAGAGAACATGTCGAGAGGCAAAAAAGGAACAAAGTCAAGCTAAATGAACAAGGCAGAAAGTTTTTCTTTATGGAACCACGAGTTCGCATCTTTCTTTTTGGGTCAGAAGCCTCATTTGTGTGTATCCAAGCATGTCAAAGGATTACATGGAGCTAAAAATGTTTTGTAGCCAGAAGCACATTTTATGGACGCCTGTAATTCCTCAAGCATTTTTTTCTCTAATCCTATTTACCGTGCATTGTTTGAGCCCTTCATCATAAGAATTCACACTACTTCTGGTGGTTAAACATCTCTAACTAGGAGCATCTTAGAACAAAGGAGCTCTTACTTGGCACTGCAGTGACAATTTTTTCTCTGGACTTCCAGACAGCATGGCCTGGAGGTGATGGCAAAGGTGGAAAGATCTTGAGGCGATCATATATGCATTGACCTGCTGCACGCTGGACAGTGCACAACTGTGTCAAAAATTTCTGTGTTCACTATTTAGCACCATACAAGGACAATACTCACCAGTAAGGCCCCATACACACGCCAAGCTTCATGTCTCTTCACCTCATTCTTTTGCTTCTCTAGTAGCAACTCTGGTTCAAGGAGTTGAAGATATGGCTCAAGATTTGGTAGAATAAGAAGGCGAACCTACTCGTCAAGTAAAATGTATCACAAATGAATAAAATTCCCAGAAATAGCAACAAGATGTTCAAAACTCAAACAGAAAACAGTTTGAAAGTAAATCCTGACAAGTCTATCACGAAAGGACTTGAAGACAGACAGTAGAAACTTTGCATAAAAAGCAACAGCCACCTTCACACAGAGATACATCAGTCATATTTCTTACTTCTTTATTCAAATTCAGGAAAAAGAGAAAAATATTTAACAAGTGTTGATTCTCAAGGCGGTCTGGGATAAGCAATAAGCATTTATGGGAAAAAGATTATGATCATCTTCTTTATGATCATCTTCTTTTCCATATTTTGTCAAGAATTACTACTTATATGTCATGGTTAATAATTTACAATTTGTTGATGGAGAGTAGCATTGACTATCTCCAAGTTGCTGGGAGAAAGTAAAGGACAGAGAAATATGAGGAAGGAATTCTTACAAAGATATTCAATTTTAATATTAGTTTCCAAAAACAGTAAAAATTTCACAGGGAAACGAACAATATTCCTCAATTAATTATTTATATTCCAATCTTGAGTATAACTTAAGAATTATAAAGAAGGGGAAAGTGAGGAAGGTGAAGAATGTGGAATCATTTCGCTTCTCTTCTTCCACTACTTTTACAATAAACTTTTAATAGAATTTAAATAGGTTCATAAGAAGTTATGCAAGAAAGAGGATACAAGAACACAAAGGTACACTTAACATGCACCAACAGTAAATGCAACATGTGATAAGAGAATATACCACATTGGGTCCTAGGGCTGCCAACCCTTGAATTGCGCCATAGTGCTGAGTCAATGCCCGTTTTGGGTCCAGAAGTGCACTGAGCAAAGTTTTGGTAAGACGCGTCTGAAGGGTATTATAAACATGCCCAAATCTGCAACAGTTTATGAAATCTAAATTCCATACGTAAGATTGACCCAAAAAAAAAAAAAAGAAAGAAGAAGAGAAAAAGTGGAATATCTGAATGGAAATTGATGCCAACATAGAAATGATATCTGTCTTTGTGAATAAGAAGCAGGAAAACATCAAAACTGAAACTGCTGTGATCACCAAATCGGATAAAAATGTCATCCAAATGAATTTAATGAGTTTAGGTCATCTAACAAAGGTCAAGTATCTAATTCACTCTTTTAACTATATGTAAAGACAGGCATGATTAATCCATCGTGTGACAAATTTCTTAAGAGGATCACATTTTGTAGTTAAAGCTGTAAAAGATTTACTTCTTGCACTAGAAAAAGGAATGGCGGAGGTAAGTTGACAAAAGGTTTTCAGATAATCCAATCTGGGTGCAGAGTTGTGTCAATGGCCCAAGGAATCAGGGCAACGATCAACCCACTGAAATTCAGCAATTGCCACAAGTACCTTCCTCAAACCTCAGTTTTACACAATTTGATATCACAGTTAAAGTCTAGAAAATATAAGTGGATTTTATCCAACATTGATTGAGAGAAATTTTAATTACAGCTAAAACATCAACGAGAAGATGACTGGAAGTCAAAAAAATTCCAACTCAAGACCTTTTCTTTAAATACAGAATAGAAAACACTTAAGAAGTGTCACCTTTTGCATATTGAAGCAACTAACTTTGCTGTAAAATCTCTAAGTTCCCAGTGGTTGTCAGCAATCCTGTTCCCTAACTTTTTTGAAACAAGGCAGGTCACTACAGATGGCATCAACTGGTGCAGCTGGCAAGACAAGAAAAAAAAAATGTTCCTTCTTAGTTTAGAATTAGTAAATCCTTGACAGAAAGTACTCCCCATAGAGCTATGCCAAGAGAATGATTCACTTAGAAAACCAGTAGGTGAATATAGGGGTGTGTTCCATTAGAAAGGAAGAGAATTAATCCAGTTAAATGCAGCATTGAATACCTGAAATTCTCGCAGAAGCACCTTTTAGATGTTATTTTATTCAGATTTTGATTAGCATATGAAATAAAATATAAAGAATGCTGTGATTACTAATTACCAATAAAACTGCTTGATCAGATAGGCTTACAAGAATGAGAAGACCTCTTCTTTCCCTTGGAAATTGAAAAGCTTTTCCCCACATTGATTCAGTAATTTGATTTTAAAATGTTTGGATATTTTTTATCTTTCTTCCCTTTTTTTTCTTGGGGGAGGTGGGTTTATTACAGAAGCCAGACAGATTCACAATTCCCAGTCTCTAGCACTCAGTGGTCATGACAAAGGGTGCCATTCATGTGGATTTGAATGTGATGCAGCTGCCTTCTTAAGGACTGACCAAGACAGAAGACACTTCTGCATCCACACTTACAAGTGCCACAATCACATAGCTCTTAGTCCATCCTGATGATCAACTTAGTAAACAGTAATTCCAATATATTTACCAATTTATATTGAATTAGATTCACAAATATATTTCCTATCAATACATAGATCCAATAGGACAAAGAGTAACTTACATAAGGTTCTATGTGTATGTGAGGATTCTGGAGAAGACTCCAAACAACACGCATCAAGGCAAAAAGAAGAGAATAATCATTCAAACCACGAGAAACCTGATATTATTGGAGAAATGAACAAACAAAATAAGCAAAAAACGTAAAAATTCTTTCATTCATTTTTTAAATCAATATTATTGTCTTAAATCCAAAATTATTACCTCATCAGCTATGAAGTAAGTAAAATAAGGAACTAGTGGATGAAGTCCTGAATCTGTAGCCAAACTCACTAATGCTTCTTTAAAAAGGGCTGAATCAGACTTTCTGACAGTAAGCTCCGTGATTTTATCGAAGTAGAGCTATGATAGAAAAAATATAGACCAAATAAATCATGGAAAAATATAAAACATATAATACAAAATAGTAATAGTAAATTATATACCTGAAGCTCCCTAGATAGTACATGCTTAACAGGTAATTTAATGTCAACCGGAAGTTCATCCTTTTGTTCATTAGTCTTGCCAACAGAAGAAGCAGCAATTACTACAGATAAAACAAGACCAACTGAATTATTAGCTCCCACACTTTGGCTAATAGAAACAACACAATTGAAAATCCTATCCAGTATAAATTTTCTCTAGCTCCTGAGAAATTCTGAGAAAGAATGGTCAAACAAACAAATTGATAGGAAAAATCACAGTATCTGATGATAACAGAAACAACTTCAGAAATTCATAGGCAACATACTACAAACATGCCAATAAGTGCTTGGTTTCTCAGAGATGAACACTAAAAAGTGATACATATATGGCAAAATGCTTGGCCATGACAGCTCATTAAGGGAAAAATAAATTAATATTTTGAATGGTCTATGCTGACAAACCAAGATTCCAGGAGTGCCAAATTAAAATTGTGAATAAAAACTACTGCTAATGCTCTGAATTTGAGACAGACCTCCCACAGGAATATTTTCTGGAATAGCAGGTTGAACTCCTTCGATAGCAAGCCAGTGGCAAACAACTGCAGTGTCAAGAGGTGCTTTTGGTAAAGGAGCTTCAATAACCTACAGGTTGGAAAAAAACATGAGACATCAGCAAGCACTCAACCCATTGCTCAAACAGCAACTAATATAGCCAGAGATTTCTTACATCTTTCAATTCCATATCCTTATCATCAATGTAAAACAAATCCCTATGCCCAACAGCCCTTTTGAACTGCAAAGGACCTCCAGATGCAAAGCCATACACTGGCTGAGGCAAGACAAAAACAGAGTGAGATTAAAGAAATACAAATTCTCTGAAGATTGCAAAAGATAATAACTAAATTATACATCAGAAGTAGTTCTATTCATCATCATATGCAGGTCTTTATATTCTCTATCACATCCAGTCGCCAACATAACAGCAAAATTTGATCCTACACATGTCTATGTTGAGATCACGCGACCTGGACAGAGAAAACTCATTCCATAACTATTTATGCTTCAAGCCAGGCCTCATCCTTATATGTTGACTGCAGTTAGCTATTAAATAGAAAATAACAATTTTCACCTTAATAGCACATTTCCATCAGAACTTGATGAGAGTGCACCACAGCATCAGCAACATTCCAATCAAAGCCAACACCAACTAAAAATGGAATCTTCAAATTTGACTGTGAAGATTATCCCAAAACACTAAACTCCGTCTAGTTCCACTTCTACCCTAGTCCAATGCAACTAGTTGCACGCATTCTTATACATGTTTTAAGGTTAAAAACGGGCATGTGGATACAAGCACGCAAAGCATACAAACACGAACAAGGAAATTCATAATAGCATATATACACACACTAAAAGGCACACTAAGTTGTAATGTGAAAGGCATAACTAACCTCAACGTTTCTTAAATTGAGTGCACAATCAACATCATCTGTAGTCATTGTAGTTCTCCTTGAGTGACGCATACATTTAATTGCCTCCTGGAAGTATATCAAAAAGGAATTATAGTTACAAAGCTTCATAATCTCAATCTTTGTTGAATTATGCTTTCTTCTACGCATTTAGAAAAAGAAAAGCAGCCTAACTCCGCCCCCCAAATCATATTTAAGCAACCTAATACCATCCAGAGTCAGGAAAAATTAGAACAGTATCATGTAAAAGAAGAATTGGTAAATAAAACCTACTAGATTTCGAAGAAGGAAAAGAACCTGCATAATCTCGCGCATGCGATATTCGACATCGGGAGCAAGAGAAAGCGCAGCATCGGCTGACAAATTATTTATGCCTATGCTTTGAGCAATCACCTCGATCGTCTCCTTCGCCACGATGCTCATTTTCTTTCTCTACTTTCTTCTTCTCTGATTTTAGAAGATCATTTTTTCATCCATTTGTTTCTTTTTGTTTATTGCCCCTTCCCTCTCCTTTGATTTGCAGTAGAGCGAGGTACCGGGCTCAGACTTGACACAGCTTCCGACTTCAGACTCGAGTGGATTTTGGAAAGAAAAAAGCGGTCGGGTTTAGCGGGTGACCCGAATTTTCATTTTTCAATTGGGCTATAGATCCTGGCGTTTTAAATTCGGGGCTATGCTCTTGGGCCCATTAAAAGTTTCTCCCGCCTAAATCCAAAACAAAGAGTGTTTATCATTAATAGTATATATGCATAGTCTGATCACATTCTTCTACTCAAAATAAATTTACTTTCAAATTCTTTTTCTTTTTTTTTCTCTTTTATTTTCGTTGTTGTTGTATTGCTTTAATCATTTTTATATTTTTAACTAATTTCATTAGTTTTAAGAATAATTTAAATTTAATGAGTGACTGAAATTGTATAAAATTGAACTCAAATTTATACGCGTGAAAATTGATATAAAGTGAAAATTTGGCAACAATAGGTTATTACACGTATTTATGACAAAAACATCAGGTCATGATATTTGAGTCACATGTTAGATGAATTGCACCTTTTGGTGCGCACTTTTTTATTTATTTCCAGACCCGGCAGTGTATCCATGTCTTTTTGCGATGATGCCTGCTACGTACCAAAAAGATTTGTCGCCACATATACATCGATTTTTGCAGGACTTTACTAATTAATTCAATTATTTCAAACCCAGGCTATAATTTAGCTCTTAATTACCACCAGGTTGAAGAGGTCATTCCTTTCAAGTGTCAAACCAGATCATCCTATGCAATTTTATTAGTAACTGTATCAGTCTAATCCTGGATAGGCATGTACATCGATCTCAACTTGCTGGGATCAAAGATACTAATGCTCTTATGCAATTCGTTTGAATATATACAAGGATGCTTGACCAAACTGTATACCAGGCCATTGAGCTAATGCTAATTCTATTTCTATATATGTGTGTTAAATTATGTGATGTTTTTGTTAATTTCCACTGGATATGGAATTCATCCTATACATGGGCTGGCTTATACTTTCAGGGTTGATCACTTGGGTAGTTCTTTCTACTTTCATGTCCCCACTTCGGTTCTTGATCCATTTATTCTACTGATTCAGAGCGCTTGCAGTTTGTACAGGATGGTTAGCTACCATAGTTAGCAAGGAAGGCTTGCCCGGACAATTTTCACTGGAATCCTCAAACTAGTCATGAGGATGGCTGGAGGTGGTGTTGATTAATTTTTATTATTTGGAGATTGTACCTTGGTTTTAAGGAGTCTTTCAACCCCTTGATACAAACATATATCCTCGTTCAAATGTCCAGCCTTCTTATTATTACCAGGTTTGACTTTAGGCAATCCAACTGGCAGTTGGGCTTGTGCTGTCACTATGGTTTGCTATTTATCACGTAGAGAGAGAGAGGGAGAGACGGAACCAACACTAGTGTTACTATTACTTGTGACATTCCATCAAGAAACTGTCATAATTATAAGCATCCAGATTCATGTAATTGCCTAATTGGCCTAAATTTCATCATCTTCGTCCTCTATTATTAATTTCACTCCATTCCAAATCGTAATTTTCAATTTGCTTTTTCACGTCAAAGAGAAATAGGCAAACCAATAATCAAGAGAAGATGTCAAGGACCACTTGTGCTCTGCTATTGCTTAAGATGCATGCAAGTATATCCATGGCCCGATCCTTCATATCTGCAAGCTCACTTTAGAATATTTGTATAATTGATGAAAATGCAGTGAGTGCTTGGCACATGCCAACTCTTTTTTTGTCAGCTTAAGATTTTAGTTCAGATTCCATATAATTGAATGAATAGTTTGCATCTCATGCCATAATTCTTCTGATATTTTGTAATCCTAAGATTGAATATATAAACCAACAATTCCCTTGTTGAAAAATGGAATTTAGTGCACAACCTGTTTCACCAATGCACATATACCTTGATATTTTTTTTCTGCACATTGAGATGGACAAACTTGATCAATCAATCAGGACCACTAGATGCAGTCCATTGCTGATCTGTCTGCTACATCAATGGTTGCTATTTGTCCCTGTCTTCCATGTCCCATATCATCTCATACCCCAAAACCTTATATCTTGGTTTAAGTCATAGTCCATACATAAAAAACCAGACAGATATATAGCTGCACTTTCTGTTAGCAAAAAACCCTAGTGGTCTTAAGGTCCAAACATAGCAAGTCATGATCACCGATTTCCATTATCACAAGCAACTGTAAGTTACTCCAATCTGCACTAAATGCTTCAAATCTTTGTTTCCACTTTAGCACAACAACACATGAGAAGATGTTTGGCATTTGATAAGTGACTAATGGACACGTTTTGGAAAAAAGTAGGAGTCCATGGAAGACGAGGGACAAGTGGCTGTCAACTTGTCCTAATAATCTCAAAACCTTTGCAGGATAATTATCTTACTCTGCTGTGCTTTGTAGAAGAAACGGTGCCCAAAGTAATTGACATGTTTTTCAGGATAACAAAATGAGCAGCTGAAATCCGAGAAGAGTCGCTAAAAGGGCAGGAGCAGTAACCAGAAAGCAACAGACATAACCCCAATAGCAAGAAAACTTTTCTTTGGCCAATCTGTTGCAAGCCATGTGCAAAAAGTGCAATAAAAGCCAAAAAAAAAAAAAACTGTGCAGTCCCCAAACCAATCTTTTCCATCTAATCTTTACTTTTTATCAGTTTCTATTATTTTGTGATTTGAAAGGACTAAGTCCAGCTCTAAAGAGCTGAAAACCCAGCAGGCTTTCTATCTTAATTACAGCTAACAAATGTATTATTGCAATACTAAATAGATTAGAGCTTTATTAAGTGTTATCTAGTGAAGCCTGGCCTCCTCGAACAACCGACTGAAGAATGTCACAGACATTTTTCAGCTTTATTTTTCTTTTCTCGGAACCAATGATGATTCAAGGAATCTCTAGTGGTTGTCAATATAAATGGAGACAGCACACTTGAGAATTCTATTCATTGGATTTGATGAACTGAGAATTGAGATGGGTGTCACTGGCGAGCTGGTTAGAAGCGTCTTCTCTAGGAACAGGTCCTTTGGGACTCAGGACACCAGCGTAAGTTTTCAACCTTTTTCTTCAAACCTTGTATGCAGTGAATTTTTCTAGTAGTTAGTGTCTGCTTAGTCTTCTAGCTGTGAATACTTGAAAGTTTTCAAGTGTTAAATTCATCTGGCATCTTCTTGTCTTGATCCAATCAGGCAAAAAGTAATGTGAACGATAAGAAAAGATGGAGTTCAGTCAGATCATACCTCTGCGGCGATGAATTTAATTCAGTCCTGGCAGAGGAAGATTCAACATCAGTTAAGAGCTCGGAAGCGACAGTTACACAGCCTGTTCCAGAAGGCTTAAGGGACAAAGGAGAAATCCAGAGTGATGAGCCAGATATAACAGAGGACAAGCATAACTCAATTTGGAAACTGTTCCATGAGGAAGACGCAGCTATCGTTATTCAGTCAGCATTTAGACACTTTCTGGTTGATTTCCTGCCAAATTCATCAATTGACATCTCTTCTTTTAAAAACAACATAACTTCATTCAGGAAGTTTGTTATCCCTGGCATGCTTGAGTAACATGGCAAATAAATCTAAGTTAGAAGTGAAAATAATTGTTCATGCGGAAGTTCCTGTCTATCTACCTTACTGAGTTTGACAGTCTAAAATTCCCTGTTATTTTGGTTCTTGAATGCTAGGCTAGGCGTCAAAACAAAGAAACCAAAGCAAAGGATGATAAACAAGAGCCTCCCCAAGGGAATGAAAGCCCAAGTAGGGAGTCTATCGGTACATCAATTGAAGTTCAAACTGGAAATTCTGTGGAAGTTTTCTCAGCTCAAGAAGAAAGGAAGGTAGTACATCACCGAATGCAACATAAACCCAGAGCTCAGGTTTTAAAGATAAAGGTAAGCAAACAGCAACGCACACTTCTTTTGCAAATTCCACGAGTTCAATGGATGATATTAATATTCAAATACACAGTGCTGCTTACCCAAGTTTCAAGAATGGTGTTCTAATCCCAACAATTGGGATTTTGCTTAATCCCTGTTTGTTTTACAACCTGAAATAACAGGAAGACTGGGATGACAGCACGGTGAGCAGTACATTTCGAAAATGAGGATTCAGACAAACTGGAAGCAATGACCAGGCGTGGAGAGCCTCTGGCCTATGCTTTTTCGCAACAGGTAAAGCTAGCATATTTGGCCACGGAAGGAAAGAGTAGCACAATTAAGCTGAACTAGTCTAACTTTATCCATCTGTTTTATAGCTGCGAATCTGCTCAAAGAAAAAACAGCAAAACTTGAAGGCATGGAAGAGAACATGAGCTGGAGCTGGCTAGAACGGTGGATGGCAACCCGTGTTCTGAAAGCTCATTTGTTGAAAACAATTGGAGCAAGCAATTTGAACCGATGGACAGCAATGAAAGTTTGTTGTCAGGAAGAATTATAGATGTAGCAGGTGAAGAGAAAGAAAGTTGCGGATCTAATGAAGTATCAGTCCACCTAGAAAGCTTATCGGTGACAACTCCCAAGGAAAAAGATGGCAACAGTCCAACAAAGATCACGCTTAGAGCTGCAAGAGGCATATCGAGGCGGAAAACTGGACCAAGCTATCAGCTATCTAAAACATCTGGCCAGGTTGGACGCTAATAGCTGTGTGTTTACTTTCTGGTTTCTATCAGTTAACTTGATTATAATATTGCTGCAGGTAAACAAGAAAGATGGTTCAAGGGAGAGTGAGAAATATAGAAAGCACAACAGCAAGCAGTTAGGTGCTCAGAAAGAAATCAATTGCAACGAAGCTTCTGCTCAACTGTCGCTGAATCCTTTAACCTCTTGACCTTTCGGTTTTTAATCCGTTTAAGAGAGAAATTAGTTAATCCGAGTGCTAAGACCTACTCTGTTTTATATGGCTTCGACATAATGGTTGGGTTCCCCTGTAAATGCTGTCACAAAACCATTGTTTATTCTGTAAATTCCATGAGTATTAAGTACCAACCAATAAAAGCCCCTTTAATATATAGCTGAATTTGCACATTGCATGTGTTCCATATTCATGGTGACAATGAGTGACACCTACATCTACTCAATCTCCCCACGGAAGCTTAACGCAAGGGTGCATTTAACCTACAGCTCCTACTAAAGCATGGATCATCGGTTTCAAATGCAAATTTAAAGCATATATCATCTGTATCAATCACAGCGCCGAAATGCCCATAATAAGCTTCAATTCCGTTTATCATCTCTACGAAAGTAAATTAACTACACATCTATTAATGACACATTCACCACTTACAAATCTAAACATACACCTTATGTGAGCAATCCCATACTTTAGGCTTCTTAACAGCATTCACTATAAGCAAACCATATCTCTCTTCTAACATTTAAACATCCCATTCAAGCAGAAGCAATTCCAAAACCCTATATCTTATCAATATCTTCATCTTCAAACTCAATATAGTCATCACCACCTCCTTCATCCTCCTCATCAATAATGCCTTCATTGAGACGAGTGTTCTCTGGAAGCTCGCCATATGCTTTCAAGAGCCTTGCTTCATCGGGCATGTACTTTAGGATCACGTCAGCCTTGTCATCCTGATAGTCACGAAGCCCAACAAGAATTATATCACCAGCAGCAATCCAAACCTTCTTGTGCATCTTTCCACGGATATGGCAAAGGCGCTTAGTGCCATCAATGCACATGGCTTCACATCGGCCATTGCCTAGCATGCGAAGCACTTGGGCATACTCTTGCCCATCTTCCTTGAATACAAGTTCACGCTTCTCATCATCCGCTTCATTCTTTCCTCTCTTCCTATTCTTTCCTCCCTTTCCCTTGTTCTTTGGCATGGTTTCTTCTTCTCCCTCTGTTGTGCCTAAGAAAAAACCAGCTATTTTACAGTTGCCCAAAAGCTAGCGACGGAATGAAAATGAAATTATTTCAATAACAGAATTTCACCACATTAAAACAGAAAAAGCGTATATACGCAAAAATAAACATAAACATACCGCGAAGTAAGATGGATATTAACAGGAAAATTATCAGGCGAAAAACAAATTAGAAATTCAATAATTCTCATCTCATGATCAAATTTGCTAGGGTATAATCATCCATTGACTAATTATATACATAATTATTATATGATCAAGAAAGTAAACAGCTCAATCATAACCCTGAACGCTGAAATTTGGGAAAACAGAAAAAAAAAAAAGTAATTTCATCAAGATCAATTTTGCTGTAAGGCTAAAGCAATTAATTGACGCAAAATTGAAGCAAATAATAAGCGAGAAATTAATCAAAGATGATGAACAGATATAAAAAAACAAAAGAGTAAACAACAGATAAAAAATTAGGGAAAAACAATACCTTTTTGCTTAGAGAGGCGAGGCGAAGATAAGAGAAGTTTATAGAAATGAATCCGATTCGTCCACAAGTTTCCCCAGACCCTAGCTTCAAATTTACCACAAAGAAAAGTTGGGTGGTAATTCACGCCGGGCCGAGTTCTGTCAAAACAGGCTCCACTCTTTCTTTGGTCCAATCTATATTGTGGGCTTTTATTTTATTCTTTCTATGTCATGTGAATTTCAGGTAAATATTTATTTTTAAATAATATTATTATTTAAAAATATAAATGTTTTTAAAATATAAAATTTGAAATATAAATAATTTAAAAATTATTAAATAATATTTAAATTTTTTTAAAAAATATTTTTTAATAAATTAAATTATTTATTTACAAATTAAATAAATCTTACTAATATTTATAATACAAAATATTTACAATGATAATTTAAACATAAATTATCAAATTAGTTCAATTTTTTCAATAATTTTTTTTCTAAAATCTGTATTTATATATATTAAATACATTATTATTCGTATTTATTTTTAGTTTATTATCTATTAATCTGTATTCATGCATATAATCTGTTTATTACCCACCAATCCGTCTAAGATACTTTAATGGTTTGAAATTATTTGTTTCTCCAAGAATATAAGTTACGAAATTAAAGCTAAATTTGTAATGGGAAGTGAATAAATTATAAATTACTTTTTAAAAATTATAATAAAGTCTAATAGTTTCAAATAAAATAACATTAGAAAATTCTCTCAGCTACACTCACACAAAAATTTTTTTATTTTTAAAAACATATAATTCCATTTAATGACAAATATATGTATCCTTTTATTTAAACAATTGAGTTTAAATCTTTTAAAAAACATTAATTGATTGACTTATCTATATTTTTTAATTATTTTAAATCGTAATATTTGTAAGATAATATAAAAAAGGAGCGAAATATTTAATCTGCAACATATAATAATTGCATTTCCTTGTTTCCCTTTTTTTCTTATCTCCTGTATTCATCATCATTGACTATTTTATACAATTCTTTCAAGCATATCACTTACAAATATTTTTACTATAATATTACAATCTTTAATATAATATAATATACTTAAGGTCAACAAAAAATTTATATCAAATAACAAATAAAATTTTCACACATAGAAATCTCTCTCTCTCTCTCTCTCTCTTTTAAATTTCCAATTCATGATTTATTCACTTAAACAAACAAAATATTATATTGATATTATTTAACAGTTTGATGAGAAATAAATAAATAAGAACCAAACAATAGCGTTCCATTTCCATAACGACCTTCTAAGAAGAAATAAGAAGAGTGTATAATTAAGGATTTCTTAGTTTATAATTAAATAACAAGCAAAATGTCTTGTCATAAAAAAAAAAAAACCAGAAGAAGAAGAAGAAAATGTTAGTGGATGAACAGGTTAGCTCGCTCTAAGAATCAAGATGCTATTGTGAAACTGCTTGCTCTTAATTTATTATCCAATCAAATACCAACAAGACCATCGTGCTTTATTTGGCACATAGTCCCTACCACAGTATTCAATCACTCCCACTCCCACCAAAAAACAGGGAATGTAAAATACAAACCTGACATCATGTTGCCCAACTCAAACAAGTAAAATTCCAATTGCTCAAATATCAAATAAATGGTAAAGTCTATTCACAAAATTGATTATATGTGGAAGGAAACATAAAATTATGTATCAGTCCCTATGACATATATCCCTGGCCCAGGAAATTCCGACTGGATAAGATCTGTGTATCTTTGTTTTCATGGTGGGGACTTTTTTGACAGGGGACTCTACATCATTTTCCTCTGAGTTTACTGTTGGTTTCTCACTCACGGCTGACTCATTGGTTTCGGCAAGGAATTGGAGTCCCTGAAATTTATCCTCGGACCATTTAATTGGAGAGAGGAAATAGAACTGCTGTAAAGAATTATAGGATTGACTTCACATACCTTGACTGATTTCTCCTCAAATTTCACGGCTGAATCAATTGCAAGCTTTGCACCAACATCCTGCCAATGAGCAAGAAATAACTAAATAAATATCTCAGGATGGAAGAGTATAACAAGTCAATGGGCATATAGATGGCACCCAGAGCAAAAATGTACAATCTGAATCCATACTACTGTCTTACACGATGTGACATGTGATAACTGGAAAGGGATACAGGACATGCGGTGCTACATACTAAAATTCTATCAGTATTCTCAAAATCTAAGATTATGACACTCAAGAATCAATTGCAAGCTTTGCACCAACATCCTGCGAATGAGCAAGAAATAACTAAATAAATATCTCAGGATGGAAGAGTATAACAAGTCAATGGGCATATAGATGGCACCTAGAGCAAAAATGTACAATCTGAATCCATACTACTGTCTTACACGATGTGACATGTGATAACTGGAAAGGGATACAGGACATGCGGTGCTACATACTAAAATTCTATCAGTATTCTCAAAATCTAAGATTATGACACTCAAGATTAGCCTAAAACATAATGAAAAAGAAACACATTAACAGGTACAAGGTGAATTGAGAAGTGTCAATAAGCTATTAAAAAACATGTTCAGACCAACAATTAGCTATAGGTTACAAATCAAGTTTTTCCACAACTAGACCATGCAATTGAGGGATCAAATAAGACAAATGGAGGAACAATAAAAAAAATCAAATCCAGCTCCCTCCAATGCACACATATTTTATTCAAAATAATCTTCATGTATCTACTCTTCATTTTGGCACGTTGAATGCATCTGTCTCTGACATGGACAGAAGTACAATAGTGATATAAAAATGGATTCCTAGTATCTGATTTCATAGAACATAACGATCAAAATATGGCATACACAGATTATCTAACCTGAAAAAAGTGTTAGTATTTAGCCCCAATAAACAACAATTTTTATGTATCCCCTCTGTATTTTAGTGCATCTGTTTCCAATTTGTATATATGATACTGATATGGAAATGGGTTCCTAGCATCATTACTTTGTCAAGCATAATGCATACATATCAAAATGAATACTGTATACAAATTATCTAACCTGAAAAAGTTTAGCATTCACTCCATCTTTTACTCCTTCAGCGAATTGGCATAGATACCAAAGACCTGAATTAGCTACATCCTGCATGGCAGAGAGGAACAGATCAAACAATTTATCACTTCAACACAACTTCATAATTTAGAGTATAATAAGAATCACAGTATCAGAAATAACCTGTTTGCTTTCAAGAAGCTCAATTTTTCCTTCCTGTTGGGTTCATTAACAAATGAAGTATCAACTAAGTTGCAAATAACAATTCTGGCAGACCTGATGATTAACCATGAGAAAATAAACACAACTCACCAATCCAGCTACCATTTGATGAATCATTTCAACATTAGAACCAATCTGAGAAAGGTTTGACTTCATCTCATCAACCTGCATGCAAGTAATACTTCATGTAATTATGAGCAGGATCTACACTTTCTTGTTTTCTTTTCTCATAAAGAGAATAAGCAGCCCAAAGGCAAGATGGAAGAATAGACGCCAAGTTGGCAGAAGATTTAGAATGCTGCACCACCCATAAAATATATGGTATAATTTCATTTTGTTTGCAAAAACTATAGACATAACAACAATGCGCATGCATCAATTAACATAAACTCCCAAACCAGTTTCCTTAATTTCCAACTATCTCTCCTTATGGACACAATACCAAGAGAAAGAAATAATAAAGTAGATAGATAGTTAGAAAAGAGAGAGTCTGATTTCAAACTCTATGCAAAGAATCTAAATTCTGAAAGTCACAATGAAAATATTTATTAGAGTTGGAAACCCCTAATTTTTTATATCTACATGTGAGATAAAGGACAGCTAAATCCTAGGGCAGTTTTCCTCTATTAGTTATTTTTAATAAGCTTTTAAAAATTGATGAAAGTCAATCTTTGGATAGTTTTTTTTCAATGTGATAGAAAGGAGAGAAAGATAAACAACCACACTACTTACACGCCACAAACTATTTCTTGTTAAAGTAAAATACATGAAAGCTTTGAAAATCATCTTATCATCTGTAAAAGCAAAGGAGAAAAGCACATGGATATAACTCAAGCTAAAATGCAAGGAGAAGGGACAAAGGTTTATTTCCTCAAAATGCAGATTGTGAATCTAAAAAAGGTTTCTTGGAACTTAATTTAATTCCCCACCATATTAGGTAGCAATATCTAATATGATCTAAGGAAGTGGAAGTGGAATGACATTTGACCCTCTATTGGTATCCACTGTCCCTATGAGTAGACATCATTCCCACTACAAAATTATGCTAAAACATGATCTTGCTCAAAACAAAAGTAGTGTTCACTACATTATTTGTGATGAGCTGAGATGTTTCTTTCTGCTCCTCCAATTTCCAATCCAAGCTTTCCAACCTCTTCGTTAGATGTCTCTTTGTTGACTGCATGATTGAAGTAACAACACTATCAAATACTGAAAAGTGTGTCAAACAGAGAATTGCTATAAGGATTGGTGTAATTACATAACAGGAACACCAATCTTACTTACATTTAATGTTTGAGATACATTATCTAACTGTTTTGACACGACTGTAACAGCATCTGCCATATTTTGCTTTGTCACAAACATTACATCAGAAAACGACAAGCCCTACACAATAAATGATATAAATAATACATCAGAAATGTACACATGTTAAGAGTGCAAATCAAAACAGCTTAGACAAAAAATGCATTTCATATTTTGATTCATCAACAAAACTTATTAACCTTCCACCACATGTAACAATATCCTAATGCTCCAAGTGCAGCAGCTGGCACAAGATAAGAAGCAATACCGCCTGTGCGCACTAGAAAAAAGAGTGAGAGCCCATAGGCATATGACTCCTCTAATAAACAAAAATCTTGAACTTCAATTTCTTCACAGAGCAGTATAAATTTATCCCCAAATATAATCAAAAAAATCTAGAGTGAGACCAAGAAACCGAAAGATTTAATAGATAATGTTTACCATTCAACTATTGTAAAATTAAATAAAGAAGACCAGCAGCATCTAAATTGAGAAGGAGCAAAAGAGGAAGTAGAAATAGATAATTTAAATTACTTAGAGCTCAAAATGACTAAATAAATAACATTAAAAATGAAATAGAAGCACATACCGCCAGAGTCTGAATTGCCATTAAGGATGGTTACCGGATTGGACGCTGTCAAATCCTTGAGCTCTTGTGCTAATTGTTTAATCTAAAAGTATCAAAAGAAAAAGCATAGACATGGTTAAATACAAGCATAAAGAGGACAATTAACATAAATCACTCCCACCCCAAAAACCAAAAGGGAAAGAAAAAGGTTGTAAAATTTCATCGGCATTTCACTCTAACATGGTTTAACAAGTTCTATATACATTTGGCACTTGAAAAATGGTCTTAACGCCGAGAATTTCGATACTTACTGCAAACAAAAAAGTTAAAAATTCGATGCAGTTTTGACTGAAAAAAAGACAAGGAAAATTGGGAGTACCTGAGCAGCAAGAAGCGTGTGATCGTATTTATAAGGAGAGAACTCGACTTCATCGACGCCCTTTAGTAATTCCTGAAGCTGTGAAATGAGTTCAGATAAACGCCCACTCCTCAAAATAATTGAGCCAGTCAAGCCTAATACCAAAATTTAAGAAACCGAGCTTCAAAAAGATCGGAAATGTAAAGTAAAAGTAATTCAAAGGAAGACGCGATTAGACTATAAAGAAAGAAAGAAAGAAACCTGCGCCCATGAGAATTAGAACTTTGGAGGTTTGGACACCTGCCTGCAACGCCATCTTTTCTTTTCTTTGTTCGGTGTCTGAACCAAAGAGGGTGGGGAAGAAAGGAAAGAGGGCGGCCTTCCTGCCTTGTTAAATGTTCGGGAAAAACTCAGAAAACAAAGATTAGTAGAAGTTTAAATCTGTATTCTCGAAAATACCCTTATGATCAAATTAAAATTACAAGTTTGAGTGACTACAAAAGCAACCTTACGATTTTGATATTTTGGCAGTCAACTAAAACGAAACAAAGTGAAGAAAAGACTCAGGGGTAATTCAGGCATTTTATAACAGAGAATAATGTCTACGTTACCTGGCAGCAGCAAGAAAGCCCACCCTTCCACGTCTTCATTTTATCCTGCCAATAAAAACAACGCACTACAACCAAAAATTTCGGGGGAAAAAAAAAAACCAAAATTTCCCCCGCCATGGCGCACCTTACTTTCCTCTTCTTCTTAATCTCGTCTCTCTTCCTATCTTCACAAGCTAATCTTCATCTTCAGCCATTAAGAAACCAAGAAGAATCGTTTACGTCAATCCTTGTTTCTCAACAGGGCCTTGATTTCATCAAGGACTTGCTCATCAACAAAGCGATATCTTCAATCATCCCTTTGCAGCTGCCTGCCACCATTGAGAAATCTGCGAGAATCCCCTTTTTGGGCAATGTTCATATGGTTATTTCCAATGTTACTATTTACAAAATCGATGTTTTGTCGTCTTATGTTAAGCCTGGGAATACTGGGATTGCAATTGTTGCCTCTGGGACTACTTGCAACTTGACCATGAATTGGCATTATTCTTATAGTTCTTGGCTTCTTCCCATTGAAATTTCTGATGGAGGAAGGGCTTCTGTTCAGGTTTTTTTTTTTTCTTGGAGTTGTTATATTCTTTATCTTTAGCTAACTGGTTGGTCAGCTTATCTACCAGCTTCTCAATTTTTTTTTTCGAAACATTTTTTAGATTTTGTAAAGAGCTGATAAACAAGTTTAATAAAAATTCTAGATAGACGAAAGATGAAAATTTCAATTTTACAGCACTTTTCACTGTAGCTCTAGCCTGGCCAAACGGGCACTAGAATTTTTTTTTTCCTTTAACTTGACTTTGCTGGTGATTGGTATGTGTGCTTTGGCTTTTTGGGTAAAATATATGCAGCTTTTTAAGTTTTGAGCTTATGCAAGTGGGTTTCATTTCTTATGCTAGAAAAGAGCTGTGTTTTGCTTGTTCATTTGCTAATTCATTACTTTGACTTTTGTTGACCTAGGAGGGAGATTGTGTACCTTATGGGATAAAGTTGATGGGTTTATTGTATTTGACTTCATTTACATGGTGTTTTTGCTTGCAAATTTGATTCTAATTTCATGCAGAGCGCTACATACAATTCAAGTATGAACTTTATCGTTTCTGCAATGTGTTGTGCCAATTAAGGACCCGATTTTGTTGAGGTCTACTCTTGGCTGTTGAGTGTTAGGTTTGTAGCTTAATTTTCTAGGTATGGTTGTTATTGCATGCTTCTTTCTTTCTCTTGCTTGCAAAAATGGGCTGCCTATGGATAGCAACCATGCATGAGTTCAATATGCCAGTGTTACTTTTGTGTGTTCTGAATTTGTGCTTGTTTGCTCATTTGTAATGTGCTCTTTAACAAAGGGAATCTGATGACTGATGCTTCTGGGTAAGGTTGAAGGCATGGAAGTGGGGCTTACGCTAGGGTTGGAGAACCATGAAGGAACTCTGAAGCTGTCCCTCATGGACTGTGGTTGTTATGTGAAAGAAATCACCATAAAATTGGATGGAGGTGCTTCTTGGCTTTATCAAGGGTATGTTTTTTTTTTTTTTCAATCAATTGACTAATTTTGTCTTAATGATATTTGAGGTTTGTTTTCTGGTGAGATAATCTATCACACCCTAACCCCAAGGGTCTAGGTTGTGGCAACACCACACGCCCATGAGGTGAGCCCATGAGCAGGTAAGGCTAAAATGGTTTATTTCAAAATACTATTTATTCTAAATAATACCTCAAAGTTTCATCAAAGGCAAGTTAAAGTTTTGAAATATTCTATAACGAAACTATCAAAACCACCATCCATAATAACCATAATAATAAAGTCGAAATGTTTAAGTGTAATGCATAATAATGAAGTCCTTGCTAAGGCTCACTGTTCCCAAGCAATCTCGAATGCTCATTCCTTGATATTTGTAACAGTGTTAATGAAAGTGTGAGCTGAACAACCCAGCAAGTAACAAGATCTAACTAGCTGGACCAAGCATAAGAAAACAATAGTTAAAATCACCATTTGCAGTTCACGATATTTAATGAACAAATCACAATTAAATTATTTGGAAACAATACAATTTATAAACATTTCACAATAATCATTTTCATTCTCTTTTGGCTCTATCAAAATACACATTTACTATCGACAATCCTCAATTCTCAAGAACAATTTTTAACGGTCTAGATCAAAGGTTTTATACACCAGTTTAACCCCTGCCAACATGCATCCTAGGAAACAATACTAATTGGTGAGAATGTTATTGAGAATGTTTATGTAATCTCATAGGATTTGGAGAACTTTTTTGTTGTTTCTTAAGATGCATCAAGGATGGTAGTGTATTTGGTGGCCATTTGGAAAAGGGCCAAGTGGTAGTATATAAGCCATCCTAATTGGTGAAGGCTCTGCCCTTAGGTCAGAACATCCACAAAGCTTTTATGGTGGTGGAGCAAAACATCATCAGGAAGAACAACAATTGAGGGTTCTTTATTTCTTGATCTTACCTATTTGCTTCTCTTGGTTTTGCTTTATAGTAGAAGGAATGAAAGTCATGGTACTTGGAAAATGTTTCCACTTGGTTTACTTCGGAAAATTTTACCAGAGAAGGAGCTTTCAGAGCACTTTAGAGTCCTACATCCTCAGAGCACTTTTCTCCTGGATTTCCTTTTTGCCTTATTTTAAAAATTATTTTATTTGTATATTAGATTTTATACCTAAGACTTCACTGTGAGTTTTTCCTTTTCTCTTTTGTTGCAGTTGCACATATTATCCATCTATTCAGATCTTCTGATGAACTGCGACTTTAGATTAGTGAATGTGATGGAACTGCATTTCATGATTCATGTAGCTAAGTGTCTGGTTGATCTGCACCGTGAGCAGTGTTTAAAAGGACTGATCTTCTGTATCATTTCAACATTGATAAGTTGTTGCTTTTCCTTTTGTTAGAACAAAAAAGAAAAGGCTGATGGTGCTGATTTTACTATCTTCATCAAATTTCTTCCATGAGAAAATAATTAACTTTCCATTGCCTTGCCATTTTGGGTAATTTTTTCATCGCACAGTATGGTCAATGTTATGTTTTATGGTGATTCAATGCTATTTTTTTCATTTTTCAGGATGATTAATGCATTTGAGGAGCAAATAGGATCTGCGGTTGAAAATGCTATTACAAATAAACTTAAATATGGAATCTTAAAGCTTGATTCATTTCTGCGATCTCTTCCAAAGGAAATTCCTGTGGACGATAATGCTTCTTTGAATGTATCTTTTGTGGAGAATCCTCTATTGAGCAGTTCTTTCATTGAATTTGACATCAATGGGTTATTCACAGCAAAGGAAAAGGTTCAAATTCCCAAACACTACCGCCAGACCTGGCAACCTTCTGTTTTCTGCAGCGATCAGTCTAAAATGCTTGGGATTTCATTAGATGAAGCTGTATTCAACTCTGCGTCAGCATTATACTATGATGTAAGTTGGAAAACTATGTAGAACTACTGAAGTATGGTGTGTAGATCATTTAAGTGGTAAAATAATGAACAATGATTAGCTGCATCATGTCTGCTTTGTCTTCATGATAATTGGTAGTTACCATAGAAATGAAGTTATTCAGGTTAGGCACTATGGCTTTATACCAAGACATTTGAGATAGAATTATTAAATACCTAATCTAATTTGTTGATTTCTGATTGCATTGAGTTCTCTAACTTATTATAGCAACAACGAGCAAATTGGAGTACAAGTTGGCATAGATAAATATGTCTTTCAAGTTTATGGTATTGGGCGGACTCACGCTCACTTCCTAAAATATTTTAGTTTTTATACTATTTATCTAAGGTTTAAGGTAGTTAATATACTAATGAAGCCATTATTTTTTTTACAATTTTATAAGGAGTGAGGTCAAAGACTCCAAGTAAAAGTGATTTATCAAAAAGTAATTTATGTATTATTATATATATACTACAAGGAAAGACAAATTTTTTTTTTTATATTTTAAGATTTTATTAAAAAAGTCAAAACCTAAAATATTCTTTCTATCTAGAAATTCAAGTCCTTTTCCTTCCCAATCCTTGGTTGTGTTTTTCACTCTCTCAAATCAACTCATCTAGGCTTCAATTGCAAGTAATTTTCAACTCAAATTAAGTTTTTATATACTTCATGTCTAAATATTTTTTGTTTAATTTGATAATTTGGGCTCATAATTATAATCTAGTTAATAAAAAATAGTATTGCAGGTCAAATAATATCTTGAAATTATGAGTCTTTCTTTTTTTGATTTATTTTGTAGATATATTATTTGATTATTTGATTTTTGTATTTAACTTTATGTGGTATGTGGATGCTTATATTTAGTTTTGATCAATGAATAGAAAATTGTCTTGTTGTTAGTTACTGAATTTGATAATTTATCATGTAAGATCATATTTTATTTTATTCTAATATTTTAATTTATGCTAATGAGTAGTAATTTTTAACAAGTTTTATGATTTTAAATAAATAAGCCACGAAAAAAATATTTTAAAAGAAAAGAAATTGTCTCACAAGGCTCAATTCTTGAGCAACAATGACAAAATTCTACTAATGATGGTACTCAACAATATTCTTATAAGCAAAGTCGTGTTGAATTTGATCTAAGTACTTTCCCAGCAGATCTTGGATCTAGGAAAAAATTTTTGAGTATCATCCTAATTACACCACTTAGAAAAATTCTTGGGTCTGTCCCTGTTTATGGTCATTAGTCTCCCCCACCCCCTACCCCTCTTTCTTTGTCTCTTTGCAAGTGTGACTGTCCATCAATCCATCTCTTGTATTATATTATTGTTAAGTTGAAGGTTTTCTACCTGTGGTCAGGCAGAATTTATGGAATGGATTGTGGATAAAGTGCCGGATCAAGCTCTTCTAAATACTGCTGGATGGAGATTTATTATTCCCCAACTGTACAAGAAATACCCAAATGATGATATGAATTTGAACATTTCTCTGTCTTCTCCACCATTGATAAGGATTTCTGGGCATAATATTGGTGCTACCGTTTATGCAGACGTGATAATTGATGTGGTTGAAGCTGGTCAAGTAATACCGGTTGCATGCATTTCATTGGTAAGTTTCTTGATTAAAATGTTATGGTTTGAAATTTCTTAATTTTCTCATTGAACCTATGTTTCTCTTCCTCCTGTTTAACAAAAAACGCAACCCTCTCTAAGCACCCCTGCCTCTGCCTGCTTCCAAAGAAGAAAACAAAAGGAAGAAAAATATTTTACGTGGGAAACATAAAAACTTTCAATCATTATAATGGACGAGAACAGCAAAAGCAAGTTGCCTGGAGGGCAGCCCAGTGATATATCTCAAGTATGGATGTCATTGAATTGGGTTTATTACATTCTGCCTCTTATGACTTAAGAAATTGTTTGCTTTTGCGGTTATATTGATATATAAAATAGTTTTCCATGAATTTGATTTGGATAGCAAACCATTGAAATTTTTACCATACATCAATAGTCGACTTGTTCTTTATTTGATAGGTTAAGTTTGCAACCCTGGGAAAGTGGTTTTGATGTTTTAGTCACTGCACAGCCTTGAAGATGCTAGGTTTTTGAGTTGCATTATTGTGTTTCCTTTTCCTTCTTCACAGGTTTATCCATTTGTACATGGTTTCTTCTCTAGATTTGTTTAATTGAAAAGCTTGCAAATTAGAAATGGGAAACTGCTGTATGAGATATTATATCCATTTTTGTGACCAATGTTGCTGCATTTGTTATGACAGGAGATCCATGGCTCAGGTTCCGTTAAAATTGTGGGAAATAACCTTGGTGGGAGCGTGAAGTTGGATGACTTGGTAATGTCATTGAAGTGGAGCCAAATTGGCAATCTTCGAATGTATCTGATACAGGTTGTTGTGATATTAGTATTTGATCAAATTAACATCATCATGCATGGTCGTTGGTAAAAGGTCTAATGTATCTTTACTTGTTGCAGCCGGTGATGTGGACACTCGTCCAGACTGTTGTCATACCATATGCAAATTCATATCTCGGAAAAGGTTTCCCTTTGCCCATCATTCATGGTTTCACCCTTCTGAATGCTGAAATTACTCTCTCAAGTTCAAAAGTCACGGTTTGCAGTGATGTGGCATATTCAGAATCACACAATCTTAATCAGCTTGGAATCTACTTTGAATAGATTATTCGTTCATATTATGCAACCTTGAGATGTCCTCAAAATGGGTTACAGGGAAGGAAACCAATTGTTAATTTCCCACTCTTGTACAGTTTTATTTCAGATGCTACTCTTCAGTCAACAGAATGCTCGAAGGATGATAAAACTCATCGAATGTACAAATATATTACCAAAGGCGCAGCTCAATTTGTATTACATTTTGTTTTATAATTTGCAAATCATATGCACAAGATGTTGATTGTCTCTATTCGATAAATTAATCAGATGAATTCAGGAACATCGACGCATGACTGGAAAATATACTTGAGACCCTTGATGAGGTTAACATGCTCCATAATATCCTTCTGCAAGGAAGTTGGTTAGGCTTTGGTACCTGGGTTGGAACTTATTACATAGATACATCTCATAACATCGAATCAAGAAACACGTAATTGAAAATTGTCTGCATGCGTGTTCATAATTTTCATTAATACAACATGGCAATTACTACTATTAAATTGCGGATTTATATAGATTGATATGATAATATCTTAACAATGTACTAGTTCCTGTTTCCTCTTTCTGGTATTTCCTTGTTACCTCAGTGTGTGGATCTGTTAGTTTGTTTCAAATAGCTACAAACTTCAATCTTGGCAGCTTATTTTTGTTGTCCACTTTGTTTTTCTGTTTCCATCTCGTCAAGCACTGTTGTGTATTTTTACTTTCACAATAGCAGAACTGATATCAACATACAAGGTTCTTAAATGTGAAGTTATAAGAAGTCCGAGTTATTGCAGTATTTTTGTGCCTGCTTCTCTATACTTTCTGGACATGCAATTGTCCATATGACATTCGGATTAATGTGTGTGCATATATATATATATATATATAAATGTGATAAATAGGAGTACAAATTAAATGGAGGGCCTCATCTTAAAAAGCAATCGCGGATTTGAATCAGTCTATCATCAGATTCCGCCAGCTGATCTACCAAACCTGAAAAGGTCTATCCTCATGGTTTCAAGTCACCTGGTGATTGAATGTCGAGTAGAGTAGAGATAATGATGGCATCAACTACCAGTTAGTTCAATAGCTCACCAGGGGCTGGAAAAACATTCAAGGAAGAGAATCGTAGGATTTACAAAATAACATAGGTCATTTCGCTAAAGACCAAGACAATGAGATACGTTATTATATTATCCTACATTGCATAGCCATGTTAAGGCAAAAGATCCCATTGGCTAAATAACGCGATATTTTCTTCTTTATACGCACCTGAGCCTGCAACCATGACAATGCAAGCTTTTAACCTGATTAGGAGGCGAGCAATCAGGTGGTGGAACATGGGTTCCAGGCCAGGGGACCTATATATGTGAAGGCATGGGTTCTCAAGGCTGGTTCCGCACGAAGGCATGCAAGCTCTTGGCAGTAGATGGATAGGCGGGTTTTGTGCCACATGGATTCCAACATGATTCGAGCCTCTTTGATTTGAGCAAATTCTAAGTTTGGTTCTTTTATTTGATTTCTTGACAATTTACAGTAAAATCTGTATGCTGTAAAGCAAGCATCGAGTCTACTTCGAAGACATACACATTGGGCTTTGCCTTCTCAAAACGCAACGTTTTTGGTTTCTGTTCCCGGAGAAGTCCTCAAATATCTCCCACACAAAGAACAACCTGTGAAACTGATAAACCTCAGTTAAACCTACTCCTCTTCACTCAACAATCTTTTCAAATTTTTATTTGCGTTTTCCTCACAATCCCATCTTCAATAAAACATGCAAGTCTCTCTCCCCATTTCACCCTCCAATCTCCCCTCAATTTTACCATTCCACCACCCCATTCATCCCCCTCACCATCCCCACAAAAACCTTGCTTTCCAAACTCAAGCCAGCCCCTTCGACGCCCTCAAAACCTCAGGCTATTTATCCACAATCAGCCGTGCTATAGAGGAAGAAGAAGAGTACCGCAAAGCCAGAGCTACTGTCACCAGGAAGGGTATTGAAGTCGAAGGCTGCTTCATTGAAGGACTCTCTATTGGTGGCCATGAAACCTGTGTCATAGTTCCTCAATTCAAATCTGCTTTTGATATTGGGCGGTGCCCCTCTCGTGCTATTCAGCAGAATTTTGTTTTCATTACCCATGCTCATCTTGATCACATTGTAAGTTCCACAATTTTTTTGCTAAAGATGTTATCCTTAGCCATAATTTTTGGTCAATATATGAACAATTCCATTGCTTCAACATGAGTATTTGAAAATTTTGTACCCTTTCAGTTGTTTTGGTTAGGTCGAGTTATTTGCTTCATAATTGTAGTTCTGGGTATTACTCTGATCTCCTGTGGTGTTTATTGGTTCAGGGTGGGCTGCCAATATATGTAGCTAGCCGTGGTTTGTACAACTTAAAGCCTCCGACAGTATTTGTACCTCCATGTATCAAAGAGGATGTGGAGAAGCTGTTGGATATTCACAGGACAATGGGACAAGTGGAACTCAATCTTGATTTGGTCGCACTTGATGTTGGTATGTTACTTACATCAAAAGTTTATTTTATGTTCATGTTTTATCTTTAAGATGACTTTGCATGTTTTTTTTCAGGTGAAACATACGAATTGCGAAATGACATTGTCGTCCGACCATTTAGAACTCACCATGTTATACCAAGCCAGGTATGCCTTACCAACTATTCTTCCAAATCACATAAATTTTCGTAGAAGAGAAACTATAGAATATGAATTAGGAATGTTCAAACCCTTGAGGCAATAATGTCAATATATCTTTGAGTCGGGAGTGGAATGTGCATGAAACTCTGTGGCTCTTTATTTTCTGCCCCTGGGAAATTCATTATAGAGGTTTGAAACACAGATTAAGATGAATTTCTTTTCTTAGTTGTTTAAACTTTGGATACTTTACAGTCTCAAGTATGAAGTTTCTTGGTCTTTTTCAGGGTTATGTCATATACTCTATTAGAAAAAAGCTGAAGAAGCAGTACATTCATCTGAAAGGGAAACAGATTGAGAAATTGAAGAAATCTGGTGTTGAGGTTTGTAGCTTTGGCAAAATAGAGTGGCCAAATATTCTTTACTTTTATCATTTATTTGACTTTAAACCTTCCATTACAGATCACAGACATCATTTTGTCTCCAGAGGTGGCATTTACAGGGGATACAACAGCAGAATACATGCTTGATCCACGAAATGCAGATGCCTTGAGGGCCAAAATTCTTATAACTGAGGTATGTAAATAGAATCTTTTCCATAATTATTTTCCCTTTTTACTTTTATCCTGAAATTACTTTTGTGACATCTGTGGTAACAGTACCTACTTCATGTTGCAACTAGTACTATAATCTAAGATCTGAGGGAATGTTTAGTGAAAAATGGAATTGGATGAGACAAGTACGATGCTTTCTAAAATCCATGATTAAAGTGTGAGATGCTCTTGCCTGCATATTAATGTCACATGTGGGTATGGTATGCCTTCACTTTGCCTTTAGCAGTTATAACAGATTTGAGCTTTGGCTTAAACTAAAACATAAGACTTAGCCTATTCTATACCTGGCTTTTCTGAGTCATTTTCTTGCTTCTAATATCTAAGGCACGGTACTCATTTCATTAGTAAAGGTTGGTTTCCATGACTACTGACCTTATCCTATCTAATACTGGAACTCAACTCTGCCAGGTCATAGGTTGTCAAATAATTTTTGCACTGATTTTTTGTCCTCTGTGTTAATTTATACTGAAGTTACCTCTGATTTATCATTTAAGTGGCCCTTCTCTGGCCATAAGATTTTGAAAGTTGCAGCTGTTATAAAAAAGAGACGATAGTTGACATGCTCATGAAAGAGAAAAGGAAAAGAAAAAGCCCTGCTTATCTTCGCATTGAACTCAGGAATCATGACATGCAATGTTAAAATTCTGTTCTTTTTCCCTCCCCTACTTAGAGCAACATTCACAACTTTGTGCAATTTATAAACTTCCCCATTTCTGATTTTGAAACATTTTTAACAGGCAACTTTCCTTGATGAAGGCTATAGCATTGATCATGCAAGACAACATGGTCATACTCATTTATTTGAGGTATGTTCAATGTTGATTCTTCCATTCTATCGTTACAACACCATTAATGACTTTTAACTTTACATGACATGAAATTCCAGATCATTGAACATGCTCAGTGGATCAGGAACAAGGCCATCCTATTAACACATTTCTCATCCCGTTATAGTATAGAGGTAATCATTTAATTGAATTACTTGTCTTCGTTCCATTTTCTAGAAAGGGTAAACATCTAATATATCTCTGTCAGCTGATATGCTGCTGAGATGCTACAATGTGATTGTCCTCTTACAAGCGAGGCAGAGGCTGATTGACATAAAAATCTTGGAGAATAGCATTCCTGATAGTTTAGCTAAATGGTTTATCATCTGAATTGAGGTTCACTCCATCTTGCATAATGGTAGATGATGCTAAATTTTATACTTAAGCATGTAGATGATACGTGGACCAGCTCTCTCCACCTTTTAATATTTGCAAGCAGTTCACAGAAATGTTGCATCAGATAGAAGTTTTCTTTAACCTGCATGGGGAAATACTGCTGCTGCCTTATTGCAGGAAAGAACCGTATTCTAATAACAGTAAGTCATGTGATGATCGTCATTCCATATTGCAGGACATTCGTCTAGCTGTTTCAAAGTTGCAGTCTAAAGTGTCAGCAAAGGTGGTTCCTCTAACAGAGGGTTTCAAATCAATGCACTCATAGTCTGTCTTTTTCAGAAGATGTGATGAATTAGAGACTAGAGTATAGAGAAATGAGTAAAAAAACATGTAATTTTCCCCCTTTGTAATATATTGACTGTGTGCATAAAATTTTTCTGATTTTGTAGAAATCTGTTCACAATGTGCATTAGTGTCAAAGTTTTGTGGGTTCTTTGAACTGATTAATGCAGGATAGGATACCATGATGAACTAGGAGAAAACAGTAGTGTCAAGGAGGTATAGACTTATTTTATTCACCTTAAATCAGGGAATGGTTGTACGTATCATATCTGTGAGATTTCCAGAGCAGTAGTGCAGTGACAGGTCTATATCGACCAGGTTGGCCCTGTGAGTGCAATGTTACAATCCGTTACTTGATTTGTGCACTTAAGCTCATCAGGCACCACGTCTTCTAAAGGACTGTACATTGGATTCTTATCAATGAATTTGCTGTGAAAGCATCATTCGACACATATATGAGCTTTAATGCTTTTGCCCATTTAACTATTTGTGCATGTTTTATTTTTAAGACGTCCAAGTAAGAGTCATAGAAGGCAAGGTCGTTTATTACAATCCCGTACCCTGACAGTCAGACGCAGGAATTCCTGTTTGGAAGTGCATTATGATCGCCATGATGTAGACTATACTCGTAGACTCGTAGTCATCACACCTACGGTGACTACAAACATGAAGTTGCCTGTTGTATGGACAAGATTGGGCAATTGGAGCACGTCTTTAGCGTACTCAAGAGTATACTCTCGTGCATCTACAAAATTAAAGACCGCTACCCTTGGCTCCAGATGATGTCAGGGTAGAACAAGTGGCCATAAAAGCAATTCTCGAAGTATAATCAAAGGCATCTTAATGGTAACATTTGCATATTGCGCGTGCATAAATACTATGCGGTGACAGCATTCAGAAGGGTAATTTTTATAAAATTAATTCATTTCCGGTTCCAGTTTAGCTTGAAAATTAACTTCCCAAAACCAACGCATAGGGGAAAAGGGCTCAGTGACACCAGTACGCATCCAGCAGAACAATCCTGTCACTGAGATACCTGACTACAACCCAAGATCTCACAAGTCTAACGGAGCAGATCCCTTGGCTCTTTGTATCTTTCATGATTTTACAGTTCCAAGCCATTAATCAGAAGCTATCATACATCCTACAAATCATGGTCCAAAGAGAACCATCATGACATCTTTCTCTGGTCTACAGCCGCAATAGCCCTCACTGATAATCAAATCTTAAAGAATCTGAAGCTCAAAATTTCTCTACAATCACGTAATGACATTTTTCTCTGCAGTTTACTATTACCAATAAAATAATAGAACAAGAAAAAAACAAGATTCTACCACGATGACCCAACCATCAGCTTCATATCTTGGATTTGTGATTCGGAAAGGTGCCAAAGCAATCAAACAAAGAGCCAGCACCCAATACCCCAGAACAAGAAAGTTTGACCCATCAATCTGTTCTAGGAGGGGGAAGCAAAAAGTAAACATGCATTTGTTCCTCCAAAACCAAAAGAATTGGACAATGCAGCTCTAACTGGCATTTCCTTTGAAGCAGTCAAAGGCATGAAAGCATTGTTAAATATGGGATCTGGTTTACTGACATTAAGTGTCAAAGGTGCAATTCCCTGCAATAAGACACCACAATCACCATTTGGTATAGCTTCAAAATTTCTCAATTGTATTAAACAGAATCTTTCCAGAGATGAGAAGAGAACAGTTGCACCATTAATTAGTCCACATACTGAAGGAAAAATTTATAGACAGGACTCAAATTGGTTCATACAAGTGAGATCTCCTATCATAATCTTGTCATATACTTTCTGAAAAGCTATGTCCAACTGATAAGTGTTTGAAAGATGCTTTCATCTAAATCATTCCGGAGAAGCTGAACAGAAATACTTACATGGTGTATGGCTAAAACAGTAAAGATTGCTTCAACAGCCCCAGCTGCACCAAGAAGATGACCAACAGCACCCTGTATATATGGTGATTGTAGCAGTCTTAATCGGGGAAATGGTTGATAAGTAGATGAAAGCTATTAGCAGGAAAAGAAAATTTATTGAAATCACAGTGAAGTGGCAAGGCACAGCACTGGAAAAGGCAATGTAGCATTTCCTTTTTCTCCCTAATTGGCTTCCTCCCTTTTTCCCTCACATCTTTTTGTAAGAGCAAGAAAATGCATAGGACAAGTTGCTGTCTCGCAGATTTGAACTCACAAGCAAAGAAATCTCTTTAGGTAGAGATGCACAGAGTTTTATTGATAAGGCTCTCTCTCTCATGAAATGCAAGTAGCAGCTAGCAGTAACCACCTAAGATATTATTTCATGGACAGAATTTTGTCTCTTTTAAACTTACATCATCTCCATGGTACTTTATTCCTTTCCAATTTGTGGACATTAATGAAACAAGCAAAAAGGACACCAGAGTGAAACCAGCCAATTTCAAATTATCTAGTCAGGTTTGAATATTGATGCAAAATAAGTAATCAAGTGCCATTTTGTCTTAAACACTTAATCATACAAAATTTACAGGACAAAAGATGTGCCAAGTAAACATTGTTCACCTAGATATCTTAAAAGCCAATCTGGTCAGAAATACTGAAATTTACCTTCGTGGAGGAAAAGGCCAAAGCACCTGACGCTGCATGGTCACCAAATGTGGATTTGATTGCATTGGCTTCAATTGCATCACCTAAAATGGTTCAAGAGATGTAAACCACACGCAAACCAGTTTCAATTCCAACTTAAAACATCATAGAAAGCAACTTAGAGATTCAAAAGGCTTTTACCCAAAGGCGTAGAAGTAGCATGAGCATTCACATAATCCACTTGATTAGGATGCAGACCAGACTGCAAGGGCATGATAAGTAAGCATATGATAAAGCACAATCTTCTGTTATGTATGAGGCATAGTAGGCAAGTTATCAGGGTATCCACAGGATCAAGTGACAAAAGAACCAATAAAACAAGTGAACCAACTACTAAAAAACTCTAGAAGCTGAACTGCTGCTCCTTATGGCCATGAAATCATTAAGGTCCACCAACAGATTTTTCTACATTTTCAAGCACATAGCTCTCAAGCAAGGTTATATCAGATGCAACCACATATAAGTTGCATTGCTGCCTAACATGCCGCCAAGCCCAGAAGATACGAACATAAACATAAGAAGTTAAACTGCAACTATCCTGATTTTCATCCTTAGAAATGACCCCTGGGATGCAGCAACCCCCTTGAGAATGTTATAGTGCAAAACTGGATTGAACACATCCAATGTTAAAAGTAGCTGTGAATATTACTTACTTGGCTTATCCAAAAGAATATTGCTTACTTGTTTCAAGGCACGTGTCATGGCTAAAATGGCACCTCTTCCATCAGTATGCGGTTGAGTAATGTGATATGCATCACCTAAAGGTCACTATTCGGGTTCAGAAAACAATGATATTTAAATATTACTACCAACACTATTGCAGAATACTTTCAGTTTGAAAACCACCTGACATCCCATATCCACAAATCTCTGCATAAATTTTTGCTCCTCGTCTTTTTGCATGCTCAAGTTCCTTCATAGCAAAGGAGCATAACAAACCATTACAAAACAATGGCAAAGATTACAGCCAATAACAAGGGGAAGGGGTTTGAAATTGAAATATAGAAGAGAAAACTACAGCTCAATTACCTCTAATACCAAGACACCAGAACCTTCACCTATCCTGGGCTCAAAAAGTATGATAAGTTAGATAATAGCAAATTGGAAACATTGGCAATCAATGAGCTAGGCACAATTAACCAGCCAAACTTCACTCACACAAACCCATCCCGAGCACAGTCAAAAGGTCGTGAAGCTTCTACGGGGGAAGAATTGTAATTTGTAGTCAAAGCTCTAGCCCTGGAATTGAAAATAGTAATTGTTATCAGCTAAGTAGAAAATGAAATGAGTAAAACAAAGTGCTACAGCATTCTAAAGGGAAAAAAAAGGGGTTAATAATTCCCCTGCTCCCCAGGAGACCTTCTGTCAGACAAAGAAGTATCCAACTGAATTTAATGCCTAATTGCTCATAGACATGTCTCAAAGTCTGGCATTAGAAGTCTCTCTTTTGTTATTATTGTGTTTTCAATATAATGAGTCTAATTTTCAAATATCCATAAATGCATTACGGAATGTTGAGAGAGTTTATGTAAATCCATAAAAGCAGATGAAATCAACGAGCATAACGGGCTAAGCCATCCTACTATTTTACAGCATGGTCTGACTTAACCAATGAGAACTGAAGAGAGTCTTATCAGGCATTAATTTTCAAAATACTACAACAATCAATTTACTATCGTCACATTTTGGCCATCTGAATACAATATTTCACAGATCCATTCCTGCTGTAACAATTCGATCAAATTTAGAAGCTTTACTTAATCGAACATGAGAATATCTCTCGTTACGGGTCCACTGACAAGGAGAAATGACATAGCTATAAAAATATTTCTGCCTCATACTGTTCTGCATATTGGCCCTCTATAATCTTTCATACCCTCCTGAATTTCTATCAAAATTTTCAATAGCCAAAAAAAAATATATAAAACAGCAAGAAAATAAACTGAAACTAAATTTTTATCAATTACCTGCAAAATCCAGCTATTGATAAAGCATCAATACTGGACTCTGTGCCCCCAGCAACCATAACATCAGCATCTCCAAATTGAACCATCCTCATAGCATCACCAATAGAATGTGCTCCAGTCGCACAAGCAGTCACTGCAGCATGGTTTGGTCCCTATATTCAAAAGAGTGACTAGACATGCAACAACTTTAATTTTAAGAATACCTTTATTTTTGTTACAAAATCATAACAGAATTATGATACAGCAGTCAACTGCTTACTAAGGACAATGACCCCTACATAATCGTCATGCATGACAATGGTAGATTAATCATGCTCATTGTCAACTAAATCAATCAATTTTAGAATTACTTAAATTTTATTCAAGCTCAAGCTTTTTGTTTCCCAGAAATGACCTGACAGATAAACTAGAAAAATTGTGGACACGTAGCTCCCTTCTAAACACAACAGTAATGGGCATTAAAAGGAAATCTTGTTCCTTGACTAGGTTTAGATCA